TTATGACTAAATTTGATTTTTGCATTTTTTTTTTTACTGGACATGTTTTATAGCAAAAAGTCCAAAATATTGTTTTTTTTTTCCTCAAAATTGTCAGCCTTTTTTTTTTTTTATAGCGCAAAAAATAAAAACCGCACAGGTGATCAAATACCACCGAAAGAAAGCTCAATTTGTTGGAAAAAAAAGGATTTAAATTTCATTTATGTACCATATTGCATGACTGCGCAATTGTCCGTTAAACTAGCGCAGCGCTGTAAAGCAGAAAAATGGTGTAAATTGCAGTATTTATACCATAGTTTGTAGACGCTATAACTTCCACACAAAGCAATCAATATACACTTATTGGGATTTTTTTTACCAAAAACATGTAGCAGAATACATTTTGGCTTAAATTTATAACCAACTTTGAGTTTACTATATATTTTTTATAGCTGAAAATAAAAAATATTGTTTTTCTTCAAAATTTTTTGGCCTTTTTTTGTTTTATAGCGTGAAAAATAAAAAGCGCACAGGTGATCAAATTACACCAAAAGAAAGCTCTATTTGTGTGAAAAAAAGGACGTAAATTTCGTTTGGGTGCAGCATTGCATGACGCCGCGCAATTATCAGTTGAATTAGTGCAGCGCCGAGTAGCAAAAAGAGGCCTGTTCATTAAGGGTGGTAAATGCTCTGGAGGTCAAGTGGTTAATACAAAAATGCCTGAGCTGTAAGAAAAAAGTGAAAATACTGTAACAAAACGAGCAATAATGTGAATAAAAATTAGCAACACAATGCACACAAAATCACTATAATCAGGTGTGAATGCTTTCGGCCTATACCTCTGTATATAGACTATCTGTCTGAAAGTCAAAGTACACTTCACTGGACTACAAGAGTGCTCATCAGTGCCCCCACAGCCCATTGAAATTAAAAGGTCCACCTGCCACAATGGCAGATTGTACTTGTAGTTTATTCATTTACAGGTTTCTGTGACTAAATGGTGTGGCTGTATGAGCGGAGCTGTTTCTAAAAAGTGTGAAACTGGGTGCACGGAGGAGAACTTTGTGGATGTTAATCTTTTGCAGTATTAAATATCACAATGGAGTTTACTATACATAATATGTAATAAGGTATTGAAGAGGTAAATGGGCATACACAAAAGAAATAGCAATTAACTAATCTGATATCAGTTAACTGTATTCAGGTGCATTCTGATTTCTGACTGAAGTAAGTTGCTTATTGATGCATTTTTGCTATGAACAATCTTATGAGGGAACCACTAAAGGTACAAAGTTCTAGATATAAACATCTCATGTCTAAATAGTGGTCAGGTAATGACTCTCCCACTGCAACAGTGAGAGATATTTTCACAGTTTTTTTTGACTTGTTCAGGGTTTTCATAAGCATTGTTATGGATAGATGTCATTATAAGGCTGCCCATGCAGACACAACATACAGATACTCATTAAAACATACTTTCACTACAAGTTTGCACACCACAAATATCAATGCAAGGATATGTTGTACAATTCCCAAACAGGTAAGAGTAAGGTAAGAATTTTAGACCTGCTAATATTTCCTGCACTTTAAAATTGACTTTCATTAAACCACGATCAAAAGAGATGGACATGCAATGTTACCCAGGAAGAACTAAACTGGAATTATCTGTCTAGTGTCCATCTCAACTTCTAAAGACCATCTGAATACTATATATAGTCCACTACAACAGATAATGTAAAAGTTAAAGTGGATCTTCAGGAATTACTTTTTGCATACTTACGTTTGATGAGCTTGGTGCAATGCAAGTATCCATATTTAATATTATGACTGTCACTGTAGTAGTCCATAGCACACATAAGTGTGAACAGCACATACGTGATACCTGTGGCCTTCCAGGTGCTACGTCAGCAGCTTTCCCTCTACACACTAAACACAGGGAGTAGTTCTCTCTGTACCACCACCATTCAGGGAATGTATTTCTTACAGACTACAGGCATTCACTGATTAGATGATGAGGAGACATAACATAATCATCATGACATAATCTGCATCTCTTCTCCATTTAATCCAATCAGAGGACATCTTGTATTCACTAAAAAAACACAAGATGTCCACTGAAAGGTAATGTGCCACAATGTGCAGCTGGAGTTCAGCTTGCACTGTTAGCAAAAGCATACAGAGTTGTCGTAAAAAAAAAAAAAATACTAATCCTCATTCCCAGTTTAAATACACGGAGTAAAACAGTGTGGGGATTTTTTGCTGCTTTAGGATCGGGACAGGGGAAATGTCAAGTCATCAGTCTGATCTGAAACTGATAGACATTAGGGTAACTAATTACCTGTGCCCTGCTCATTTTTTCTATAAATAAAACCTGCTTAAGACCTTACGTGCCCAGAAGTCAATGAGGACTAGACCAAATGTTTACACTTTTTACATTAATTCATATTCTAAGCACTACCTTATTCTAATGATTTTCTCTTTGCACAGTGAGCAAACAGAAATAGAGATACAACCCCAACTGCATCCGTGAGATATTTATTTGTAGACAAACCTCTGAGATTATCACAATTGGCTTTGTGGTAGCCACAGGATTAAGAACAACCTTTACTGATTCCCAATCACTCGCTGAAGACCTGCAATTTTCAGTGAGAGTCACAAAGCTAGAGTAGAAGGCAAACAGTGCTTAGTACTAACAGCTTGCCCCCTTGTATTACAATAGGGGATCATCCTTCGGATCATGCCTGAGGTCATGGATTTCTGCCATCATGATATGCCTGCTAACATTTCACCCTTGTGAGTGCAATATTATATGATTTTAGCCATTTTTGTTTACTGACATACTACACTATATTGGTTCTTTATCATTGGTTATATTGGTTCTTTGGGCGACTCTCTCCCTTTCCTATTAATTCATTTATAATAAGAGATCATTGACTAGCTGGAGATCTGGAAATGTCAGTGACAGCATGATCACAGAACAGCTCTCAGCTGGCATGTTGAACACTGCAATGGAAAAAATGTTAAGAATGTTAAATTGGACCTCTCTCCCTCAAAGCTAAAAAATCAAGCTGAAAGTATTGATTTCTGAACATATCCAAGTCCTATGTACAATAAACAATACTTTTTAATCTAAATTCTCAAAATGCTACTTTATGTTTTCCCTTACACAGCTGTGAGGTAGCCAGGATGTTACAGGTGCCTCCTAGGACGGTTATATCACCAGTATCTTTAAGGGAGCTCTCATTTCTAAACTGCAAGATGTCAATTAGAAAAGAAAAACCTTTTTTTTTACAGTTAATGTAAAGTGGTAAAGTGCATGTGCAAGATGTGCATAACACCTGTGGCTCATTTTATGCAGCCACATTACACATGTACACAGACGGGATGAGATGGAAAAGTCATTGGTGGGTCAGCAAAGAATAAGGAAGAAGAAGCAGGCAACCAGTTACGTATTTTAACAATGGCAGTGCAAGTTTGCTCCTGTAGTTTTCAAATGACAGCCATGTCTAGCCATACTGAATGCTTTTTATTTATTATTATTATTATTGTTAATAATAATAATAATAATAATAATAACAAGAAGAAGAATATCAATACTATAAAACACACTTAATAAACAAACACTACACAACATTGTTAGGCAAATGGATTCTTGGTTGACAGCAGAATAGTCAATGTTAGGCAATGATAAATACAGCTATTTAGAAAAATATACAGTTCCTAAATACTTTATATCACAGACTCTTTTAAGAAAATTAAGCTGAAATCACAGTGTAATTTTAACTACACCCAGTCACTTTTTGACTACACTTGGATCTAGGTAGCTTTTTCAGTCTACTTAGAATATTCATTAAGCAGGGTTCTTCAGAGTAGCAGCTCACATTTAGAATATTAATTCTCATTGTTATTTTCACTATCATTGCCACTGACAAGAATTCATTACAAATCATAAGTGACCAACTCCGTTAACTTCTTGTTTACATAATTACTGTACATAGTTAGTCTTGCTGAAAAAAAACTAAATTACATTCAGTTCAACCATAGAACAAAAAATTATAATCCTACACAGTTGATCCAGAGGAAGGCAAAAAAACCCAGCAAAGCACGATCCACTTTGCTCCTGCAGATGAAAAAAATTCCTTTCAGATCCCCCAAGAGGCAATCGGGTATTCCCTGGATCAACTTTACCTATAAATGTTAGTATCCAGTTATATTCTGTGTATCTAGGAAATAATCCAGGCCTTTTTTAAAGCAATCCACTGAGCTGGCCAGAACCAACTCTTGAGGGAGTCTATTCCACATTTTCACAGCTCTCACTGTGAAGAAACCTTTCTGTGTTTGGAGATTAAATATATTTTTCCTCCAGAGGTACATAGTGCCCCCTTGTCCTCTGTGATGACCTCAGAGTGAATAGTTCTACACCGAGTTTACTATATGAACCACTGATGTATTTATACCTGTTGATCATATTCCCCCTTAGGCTGGCCATATATTACACAATTTTCTTGAGAATTTTATAGTATAGTATTGTATAGTGTGTGTTCAGCCTAAATCTCCTCTTCTCAAGAGAGAATAAATTCAGTTCTTCTAATCTTTCCTCATAGCTGAGCTCCTCCATGCCTCTTATCAGTTTGGTTGCCCTTCTCTGCACTTTCTCCAGTTCCCCAATGTTATTTTTGTGAATTGGTGCCCAAAACTGAACTTCATAAAAGTTTGTTATCTTAAAGTGGAGCTAACCCCCTCCCTGGTCTTTACAGCCAAGAAAGCTGCCATCTTATCCTCTGTTTTATCTGTCATTGCCTTGGTGCTGCGCATATGATCCTTTTAATGGCTTGACAGTTCCACTGACAGCTAACAGAAGAGAAACTCTGACAGTTGTTAAGACATAAATTATATGTGTATTATATGTGCCCTTTATTTTAGCACTTTCTACAAGCAGAATCACTAACACCATCTTAAAATGAAAAAAAGGGCACACCATTGGATATTGTTTCTTTTTTTAGTAAAGGACATTTTTAACAGCCTCCCACCACTCACCACGCATGCGTGGCTCTGGGAGTGCGCAGCACGGCGATCGGCGATGCGCTGTGTCCCTCGAACACAGCGGATCACCGATCCATGGAAAGAGCCGAAGATGTTGACTTGGTCATATGATCAGCTGTGTCCAATCACAGCTGATCACATGTAAACAGGGAAGTGCCGGTTATCGGCATTTCTCTACTCACGAGCTGTCATGCTGACAGAGGAGAGGAGAGCCGGTAATCGGCATTCCTTGGAGGGTACGTGTACACTGATCATCAGGGCACTGATGATCAGTGTGCCCTGATGATCAGTGTAGCCCCAGCAGTGCCACCTATCAGTGTCCATCAGTGCCATGTGTCAGTGCTCATCCATGCCACCTGCCAGTGCCCATCAGTGCCACATATCAGTGCCTAGCAGTGCACATCAATGCCACATATCAGTGCCCATCTGAGCTGCCTTTCAATGTCACCTATCAGTGCCAGTCAGTGCCACCTATCAGTGCTGCCGATCAGAGCCGCCTATCAGTGCCAGTCAGTGCCACCTATCAGTGCCATATGAGTGCTGCCTTTCAGTGCCCATCAGTGATGCCTGTCAATGCCCATCAGTGCCACCTACCAGTGCCTCCTCATCAGTGCCACCTATCAGTGCAGCCTATCAGTGCCCATCACTACAGCCTTATTAGCGCACATCACTGAAGGAGTAAAATCACTTATTTACAAAATGTTATAACAAAAACTAAGAAAAAACTTTTTTTTTCAAAATTTTCAGCAGTTTTGGTTTGTTTAAGAAAAAATAAAAAAGCCAGAGGTGATTAAATACCACCAAAATAAAGCTCTGTCACAAGAAAATGATAAAAATTTCATATGGGTACAATGTTGCATGACCGCACAATTGTCATTCAAATAGTGACAGCACTGAAAGCTGAAAATTGGCCTGGGCAGGAAGGGGGTATAAGTGCCCTGTAGCCTAGTGGTTAATGGTGTGGTTGATTATTTTTTAATTCAGCAATGTTGAATTCATTGGACTACACTCCTTTCAAGGCACCTTGTCCCTATGTGGAGGCCTCATTATTTGTCTGTGGGGTGAATTATCATTGAATAATTGAATTATGAGTTGTTATTATTATTATTATTATATTATTATATGGAAGCCCCTCTAGAAATGGGTTCCCCAGATATCTGCTTCCCTATGTGAATGAGTATGGGCCCAAAGTTATTCTGTGTTTCTCACTTACCAAAAAAGTAATGCCTGCTACCCTCTTTCAGTTCCCCCCAGGCTGCATGCCTAGATAAGGTCTCTTTATACACTGCTCAAAAAAATTAAAGGAACACTTTTTAATCAGAATATAGGATCACGTCAATTAAACCCCCGGGATATTGATCTGGTCAGTTAAGTAGCAGAGGGGGTTGTTAATCAGTTTCAGCTGCACTGGTGTTAATGAAATTAATAACAGGTGCACTAGATGGGTAACAATGAGATGACCCTCAAAAACAGGAATGGTTTTACAGGTGGAGATCACTGACTCTTTTTTCACTACTCATCTTTTCTGACTGTTTTTTCACTAGTTTTGCATTTGGCTAGGGTCAGTGTCACTACTGGTAGCATGAGGTGATACCTGGACCCTACAGAGGTTGCACAGGCAGTCCAACTCCTCCAGGATGGCACATCAATACGTTCCATTGTCAGAAGGTTTGCTGTGTCTCCCAGAACAGTCTCAAGAGCATGAAGGAGATTCCAGGAGACAGGAAATTACTCTAGGAGAGGTGGACAGGGCCTTAGCCCACACCAGCAAGACCAGTATCTGCTCCTCTGTGCAAGGAGGAACAGGATGAGCACTGCCAGAGCCCTACAAAATGACCTCCAGCAGGCCACTGGTGAGAATGTCTGTCACCAAACAATCAGAAAAAGACTTCATGAAGGTGATCTGAGGGCCGCCATCCTCTAGTGGGCCCTATGCTCACTGTCCGGCACCATAGCACTTGATTGGCATTTGCCATTGAACACCAGAATTGGCAGGTCCACCACTGGCCCCCTGTGCTTTTCACAGATGAGAGCAGGTTCACCCTGAGCACATGTGACATATGTGAAAGGATATGGAAAAGCCGTGGAGAACGTTATGCTGCCTTAAATATCATTGAACATGATTGTTTTGGTGGTGGGTCAGTGATGGTCTGGGAAGGTATATTCATGGAGGGACACACAGACCTCTACAGGTTAGACAATGGCACCCTGACTGCCATTAGGTATCGGGATGAAATCCTTGGCAATTGTCAGACCCTACACTGGTGCAGTGGGTCCTGGGTTCCTCCTGGTGCATGACAATGCCCGGCCTCATGTGACGAGAGTATGCAGGCAGTTCCAGGAGGATGAAGAAATTGATACCACTGAATAGCCCCCACACTCACCTGACTTAAATCCAACTGTTGAAAAAACCCTTCTATTTAACCGCTTTCCACCCAGGCCAATTCTGACCTGTCTGTCATATATGTAAAAAAATCAGTATTTTTTTGCAATGAAATTACTTAGAACCCCAAACATTATATATTATTATGTAATACAAAAATGCAGTGCTTAGAACAGATATTAAAAGTGAAAAAAAAAAAAAAAAATATATATATATATAAAAGTGTAAGTGCTAAGGAGTGCATTAAGTAGTATATAGTGGTATTCAGGGGCGGACTGACCATTTGGAAACTCAGGCACTGCACAAGGGCCCAGGGTCAGTAGGGGGCCCCATGAGATGCCCCTGGTACCTTTTTCATAGGCTTTTTTGAGTTTGGGCAAGGACACATTGGCCCCATGATCCCCTATTGCCAGTCCGCCCCTGGTGATATTGTCTAATTATGATGTATTGATATGGTGAACATAAAGTGAATGATTAAAGTGGCATTCAGTGATCAATGCATAACATAATCAAGTCCAAATGGAAAAGATGATAAGTAAATAAATATAAGTGAAATCCGTGACTTGGTGGCTGGAAGCTTTTGTATAATATTGCACTAACCGGAAGCACAATATATAAGCGCATTTGTGTATATAAATCCCGTCATGGTCATCTGGATCCGAATGGGTGTACTAAGAATTATCTGGCACACACCAGCACATCAGGTGATCATCAGACCTCACTCACAGGTTCCAGGGGCATCACGTCCGATGTTGGAGACCAATCATGGGCATATGGCAGGTGTATTTTCAGGATTCCACAGTAGGGGCTCATTGAATAATGAGCCAGAAAAAAATCTGCATCTTCCAGCACACAGACACACAGCATGTTAACTCCACTACTTCCCAGTCTCACAGGAAATACATAATCAGGCAGTTAAGTGAGGTCAAAAACAGCTTGTGTCCCTTTAAATGGACACAAGATGTTGTTTTTGACCTCACTTAACGGATTGGTAAAAAAAAATAAGGTGAGCGCACATAGGATAAGGAGCACTTTATGAGGACGTATCACAAAGTGGACTTTTGATTGATTTTTTATATATACCGTATATTGATTTTTTATATATTTTGTTTGGAATGAAGATTTAATTTAAATCACATATTTTTTGTTGCTTTGAGATTGCACAAGAAATAATGGCTCATGGTTATTTTGAAATAGCATATGTTTTTTGGGGGATCACATCATGATATATATGGCTATTATTTAGAGATTCGGTCACATAGGATACTAACACAAATATTTAATAACAATTCATTTGTATTGGTTATTAGTGGAGTGTGACACAAATTTCACAATATTTGACTTTAGTTACACAATATGGGTATGTGTATGGTGGAAGCGACCCACACATTTAAATTCTAATTTTATTAAATAATTATTCTGTTTGTTGTAAAAAAATTTTGAAATACACCATAGTAGCTCAAAAGCACTACATCTATATAATTTCTATAAATAAATATTGTGCACTACATATCTAAGTCTCCAACATAACAATAAAAAGGTAATGGCAACACACATCTTCACTAACACAAGTAAATGCTTATAACAAAACACAGCATCAGCAGAAAGACTACCAATATACTGTATATACATACATATACTGTATATGTGCATACTGTATACGTACATATTAAATTACAAAAAAATGTTTATAGCTGATCATATCATTAAGCTCTGGGTGTTTAGTGGCTTTTAACTGTTGTATCCATTATTTTTCCTGTTGTAGCTAGGTTCTGCCAAAGTTCTGACTAAGTCCGCAATGATTGGTGGACGAAACACGTCAACGTATTGACATCATCACGCTCTGCGTAACACCATGCTGTTGTGTCCATGAGGTGGAAGAGGTTTACCACACGCCTCCATCTTCGATATTCACTGGGCAAGACGGAAACTGCTAGCTATTGAGCTTACTCCCAGGTGTCTATTCAGTAATGTATGGCGATGTATACAACTTCCACCGGTGGCAAGTAACTTTTTAAATGTGCTAAGCATTTGACTTCCACAAATTAGAAGAGAAATTTTGGGCCTATTAAGGTGACAACTATATACATGATATGCGTTAAGCATCAATGTGCATAAATGGGACATTTGTCCACAATTTTCTCAAGGAACCATCTTGCTCTTACTTAGAGGCAGGGGCGGACTGACCATTTGGAAACTCGGGCACTGCCCGAGGGCCCAGGGTCAGTAGGGGGCCCCATGAGATGCCCCTGGTACCTTTTTCATAGGCTTATTTGAGTTTGGGCAAGGACACAGGGGCCCCATGATTCCCTATTGCCCAGGGGCCCCATGATTCCCTATTGCCATGAGTTGTCAGTCCTCCCCTGCTTAGAAGAGTAATTTTTGGGCCTACCAAGGGCTATTTTCATCTATATGAATCCATGCAATCACAGGATTTTTGAGATTCTAGTTACGCATATACGTTCTACAGCCTAAACATATTTTAATGAACAAGAGGAAATCTCCTTCATTTTTTTGATCACGGATCACATGATCCAAAAAGATTTCTGTACATGGATACAACGATGACCTCTGTTGGGGTATCTACCTTATTTAATATATTCATTATTCATTAATGCCTCTTTTCATTTCACTAATATTCCTGTTATTTAGTTTATATTTAGCATAATAGAGCCATTAATAGAGGTCATCCTGTTAAAGCAATATCGGCCGGTCGAGGCTGGCTATACACTGTCCAATCTTTCTTGTCAGCTAACCTTACATGATGATGACAAGATACAATGAATTTTAGACTATCTTAGATTTTCCTCTGTAAAGTAATTCATTCATGATCAGTGTATTGGATCCACTTTGATGACATATCTATGAATATGGGGATTCTTCTTAGATTTATCATTCATTGCCTATATTGATTCCTTAGGATTTTTTCCATTTGCTACTTTTCTTATTCAACATTGATGATAACATGAGTGAAGTACAAAGAAGTATCCACTTAAAGTTATGTCATTTTAGGAAAACAGCAAAGAATCGAAATTGTGAAGATAGAATCACTCAGAATACTATGAAAGTGGACTCTCCATACCTCAGTATTATCCTCTACATGTGAAGTATACTTCTTATCTAAATAATGGTTTCCCAGCCATACATTTAATCAACAAAATGCAGCTAAGTGAATGCGTAGGACATTTTTTTTTTTTTGCTTTTTGTTTTTATATTCACTGTTTTTACTTTTTTGATTGACTGTGTGTTCACCATGTCATATTCCCACCCTTTCAAAAGATCTTAATGATCAAAATAAAGAAATTATTTGCATCTATTTTTGATGTTTATTGCTTACTATGCATTGGTTCTTTTTTGCAGTTTGCTCTATTTAGCTGCTAACTTTTTCTAATATGCTCCATTCGGTTAATAATCCACACCCCAAGATAAGGTGAGTCAGAGAGATCCCTTTGATGGGTGGTTACACCCCAAATGATGGCATTTTTTCTTTTTGTTTCGGCCAAAGTCACCCCTTAGGTCTGGTGTACATTACAGAAACACAGTCCGGATGCTTTCCAGATGCATTTCTGCATGCACATTTATATATGTTTTTGACGCATTTATGATGCATCCCTGTGTATTTTTTCCCCTCAGGGAAATCACATTATTTTCAACACGCATTGCACATAGGGCAGCCCACTCACTTGAATGCTTTGGCACGTGTGTTGGAAACATACTGCAAATGTGGTTGCATTGTCATATAGACTGCATTTGCATCTGTACATTTCCAAATGCATGTCAACCTGCACAGAAAATGCACGCTATGTAGCACATTTAAAAAATGCTCGGTGAATGTGAGTCATGCTTGCATTGCCATTTAGGCTGTGTTTGCATCTGGACTTTTCAGAAGGCATGGAAACCTACACAGAAAATACACGATTTGCTGTGTATTTCAGGTACATGTGGCACATATGTGTTGCTCCTGTGTTGATATTTAGGCTGCGTTCGCATCTGAGCTTTTCCAAACGTGCAGAAATCTGCACAGAAAACATGCGCTTTGCTGTGCATGTTGCAAACACGTGCCAGACATGCAGAGTGCTTGTGTTGCCATTTAGGTTGCATTCACATCTGTGCTTTTGAAACATGCTGCAACCTGGTCAGAAAAGGTGCACATTGCCTTGCTTTTCTGAAATGCACTGCAAACCCACATAATGGCAATGAAGAGTGATGCGTGTTTGTTCCAAATCCCCCTAATTATGGTTAGCAGTTGCGTGTTTTGCCGCACATTTGTTACACAACAAAATGTGCTACAATTGCTCCAAAATGCTCACTGAAAAAAAACATGTGATGTTCCACAACAGAAAAGATAATTGAGCTGCTTTAGTCCCATGTAAGTCAACCCATTCAGGTGAATAGGCTGCCATATGCTCCATGCGCATTTATGTCTGAAAAACGGTGTTGAAACGGGGCTGTTCAGGTGTAAATAGAATGTACATGGGAGGAAAGTTATTAGGCAGCAAGGATGACCTGGGAGGAGATGTGAGGGTTGAAAAAAAACACTTATCATACCAAAGTCACATAGGAATCCTTCTTATCTAATGCTAATGAGACTTCTGTGAGTTAACATAGAAGCCTGTTGGGCTGAAATTGCAGGGCATCATTGAAAACAATGTGATTTCCCTTGTCATGTGATTCTGTGTGACTCGCATCCTATCAGAAGTCGCACTAGTGTGAAGGGGCTAATTAGTAACTTTGCATTGTGGTGCATTTTTTATATGTTTAGGTGCATTCTGGTGTGTTTTTGATGCATTTAGGTGTGTTTTGGGTGCATTTTGGTGATGCGTTTTGCTGCATTCCAGTGCAGTTCCATGCAAAAAAATGCAGCATGTTCTACTTTTGTTGACTGTACTGCAATGCACTGCAATGGTTAAAACTATAGATAAAAAACAAATATGGTGTGAAGTTTGCAGAACTACAAAACAACTCCCCCCGTTTAATAAATATGAACAAAATATGAAAAAAAGTATGAAAAAATGTGAAAGGTATAAAAACCTATCCTAAACCATACTACAGTGCACCACCCTCAATAAAGTGTATGAATCAATAACATGCAATGTTTAGACAATAGCTATCACTGTATAATAAGGGCATAGAATCTGTAAACAAGATAAATCCTGTGATGAAGTCTTCAGCAATCGATAACGTGCAACATGTCAGCAATAGCAATTACTGTGCAATAAAGTGCGCAAAATCTGCAAACAACACAAATCCTGTGCAGAAATCAGTAACAAATAGTCTTTTTGTTAACATGTATATATCCAGTAAACAAAATTAAAATCTCAGTGCTCTTTAAAGGTGTCTTGTGCCAAGAATATTCCAACAAAAGTGCTGAAAATTCACTGTCTTCACTTGTAACCCACACATGCTCCCTTCATAGACACCACACTCACCAGAAATCCTTGACCCCCTAAACATTTCTGGTATATCTTTTCACATTATTTTATACTTTTCATATTTCTTTATTTTTTTTTCTATTTATTGCATAGGGGAGTTGTACTGTAGTACTTCGAACTCCACACCATTTTTTTAAAAATCTATATTGACTGTGTTCTATTCATAGGATATTGGAGTATTGGATTGATTTAATGGTGAAAATTATGCAATTGGAATCTCTGTGTTTTGTAGCAGAAATAAAACATACTGGACAGCATGTGGTGTGAACCAGCCCTTAGGGTCCTCATACACTCTATGAAATGTCATAAACCTCATTACTGATTTATCATAGCTATATGTTTTAAGCTGATGTGTCAGCTTATTGGGGTGACAACCTTTCTATTGCTGCTGTAATATACATGATTTTGTACTCTTTTGTGAAATTGACCTTTGGTCTTACCCACATAGAAAGAGCCACAGTTGTAGGTCATCAAATAGACCACCCCAACTGTGGCTCAAGCCACGTGTCATTTTGGTAACATGAAATCAGTTACTTGAGCAATTCATGGGCACTGTGGACATTCACCTCACTTTCTATTAAGATGATTATTATTATAACAGGATTTATACTGTATTTCACCAACAGTTTGTGCAGCAGCTTATACAATAAAGGGAAACAGTACGGTTCAGGGGCGGACTGACAACTCATGGGGCCCCCGGGCAATAAGGGATCATGGGTCCCCTGTGTCCTTGCCCAAACTCAAAAAAGCCTATGAAAAAGGTACCAGGGGCATCTCATGGGGCCCCCTACTGACCATGGGCCCTCGGGCAGTGCCTGAGTTTTCAAATGGTCAGTCCACCCCTGGTATGGTTCAATACAATTTAAGACAAGAAGGTAAGGAGAGCTATGCTCATGAGAACTTACAATCTAAAAGAGAAGGTCAAGTGATACAAAAAGTAAAACTGATGGATGAGCAGACGCGAAAAGTACATTTTCATTTGTTAGGTAGAGGTATGATAGGCTTTCCTGAAGAGATTAGTTTTCAGAGATTGACTAAATCCAGACATATTAGGAGACATCTAGAAACATTGAGCTAGAGAAGGTAGGAAGAGTTGAAGGATCTAAAGAGTAGAGATCAGGAGGTCTTGAGCAAAGAGGATGTTTTGCATGATCCTTTGAGATGAGGTTGATGAAGCAGCTAGGGGAAAATCAATAGATGGTTCTGTATACTGTTGTTATTATTTTAAATGTAATTTGTTGTGTAATCAGAAGGCAATGGAAGGATAGTTTGATAACAGCACTCATGATAGACTGAGGTTGGTAATCTGTTCAGATGTAGGTCAATGAGTAGGGAGATGCAATTACTATTCTTTTCTCTCATCTGGTGGGCTGAAAATAAAGCAGACATAATGTTGCCTAAAACAGCATATCTTAACAGTAGAGTTTACTAAAATGATGACACATCAAGTGTGGAGCTAAAGGGCATCATTATCATGATCAGGTGTGCCTAGAGCAGCATGATGTATAAATGCCGCCCCGCCCTCGCCAAGAGCATATCATGCTGTTCTCCACCACTACCTTCAACTACCTTCTATGGCAATGGGCAGCTTTACAGAATCTGTTAAGCAATGCAGCTTGCTCAGGCAATATGTTAGACACTGGAATAAACACAAAAGCTATTTTTTTTTTCCACAGGCAGGATTTTTCCTTTACTGAAATTATACTTTAACTTTGCTGTTATTGATGGATCCAATTATAACTGCCATTAGCTTGTGTGTCCTCTGAAACAACAGTACATGTACTTTTCCAGTTCCGAGATCACAGTCTTTGGCTTTCTTTTATCAATTTCTTACAACAGTATTAATGTGTATTTTTGTAATAGAAACACAGCCACCCTTTTTCAAATAACAAAAGCTTAGCAACAATAGTACTATCAAACTTGTCTATACAATTTCAACACGTACAGTAACTTTCATTTTGACTCTGACAGTAAGGTTTTTCAACAATTCCTTTTACACATTGTACAAAAGGTTTCTCTTTATGATCATAGTGTTCAAATTATAGCTTACAACAAGGCCTATTAGTAGAAATTTTGAACTAAGGGTCCTCACAAAACTATTTCCACATCAATACTAGCAATCTTTGTTCTTGGGAATGTACTATCCACCCTCCTAAATATTTTACTTGAGTGGTTAAAAGTTGTTTATTGCTTGAACTGGTATTCATTTTATGTGACTGCCATTCAACTGTAATGCTTTTTAGATGTTCAAATAAAAAGAAAAAAAGAAAAAAAAAAGAGTAAAACTATATCTACCACGCTGTTAAAAATGATAAATATATGTGAACAAAACATAATATAAAAATATAACTAGTATTACCTATAAAGTGGAAGTTGACATCCAATTACCAGGGCATTGGTTTGCCCAGATTGAGTGAATAGAGTTAAATAAAGTGTTGGACATGAGATGTCACATTGGTTCTCCACTCCTGACAACATTTACTGACAAAATGCATTGGGCGGAGGCTAAAGTAGGTGACATAATTTGCTAGGGCTGTTCAAACCAGAAATGTATGCTTAATGTAGAGTAGGAGGATCCTTCTTCAAGTGATCACATTGTTAAGGAACTGACTTGCCCAGAAGAAATTGTGGGACTGTTGAAATGTATCTGCATGTCCAAAAAATTCACTCATATCTATAGCCAGGTAGATTGTTCTTACAGTTATTACAGTGTTTTCTGAATGCTAGTAACATTCCACTTGTTAAAAACAACAATTAACAATAATTCCTTGCTAACCCTCTAAGTATGTGATATACAGCTTCTACACAAAACCAAATAACGTAACAGAAGTACTAATAACCAATATTGCAGCATATTGCACCCACACACAATATTAAGATATTATTAATATTAAAAATATTTGCTTTTACTATGTAATACTTTAAGGCTACACTATGGATGAATACAATTTATCTCATGGTAAGTACTTGGGGATTCTCATACACACATACATACAAATTGTGTTATACGACTTTGTCCCATGCAAGGGCGAATATCAGCCCCCTCACTCCTTGCAATGAAAGGGGGTTTTGCACATAGGTATACCCTCCCAATGTGGCTTAGTTTGGTAACGGAATTAGGGCTACACACTTACTGTCCTCTTTTTCCTAACCACCCAAGGTGCATGTCTCAATAAGGGTCTGGTTAGGATATTAAGGGAAACCTCATGCCTCCCCCACCATCTCAGCAGCAGCTGGGATCAGCTTTTCTAGGATATGGGAATTGAGATTGCATTGCACTTGCTTGACTTTTCAACAAGGAAGCAAGCTCTAAATATACTGGGGGCAAGAGCCCAACATTTGGTGTTTCCAGAAAACTAGTTAAGATGTGAAAATGTAAACATTACAGTATTAAAACCAGGCTTTATAGGAGGAAGAGAGGGCAGAACAGGCCTACATATATGGCAATTGCATTAAACAATATTATAAAAAATGGCACAGTCCATTTAAATGTTCTACTTGTCTGCACAGGCCATTGTATGCAAATGGTGAACAAAGCCTTAAAACTAATTCACTCTGGTTGTAGTAACTCTCAATCCAACATCCAAGACGAGAGGATGATTCAGCCTGTATATCCTAATTTCAAGAGGCTGTTTAGTACTGGAATTGATCAACACTGTTTTCTTTAAGGACCCATGGTTGTATGCCATATGGTCCAGGTGCTTTATTCACCTTTATTCTGTCTAAATATTTCTGGATCATATCAATTGTGAGCCAATGTGGATCATCTGGAGCTGTGTCAATACCATGCCCATTATGGACAAGAGCTCCCCCATGCTCCTTTGTATACACAGAGCTGAAGAAGGTATTTAATAAATTTGCCTTCTCTTTGTCCCCAGTCACCCACTCTACATTATTTTGTAATCTAGATGCGTGGACCTGACTTTTTTACTATTACAATATTTGAAGAATGTTTTGGGGTTTGTCCGGCTATCTTTTGCAATATGTCATTCATATGTCATATGTCATTCCACTATGAAATTTAGTTTGCTAAGGTATACATTTTTCATCTCCTCAGATTCTAATAGGGAGAGTATTGAAAAGTAATCTATCTGAGACAAACACAGATTCTTATACCTAAGGAAGCCCATAGATGAGTCAGGTTTTTTTTTTTTTCAATCAACCAGTGGGTTGAATGAAAAAAATGGACTTCATTCCCCCACCCTCCCCACTGAGCGATTGTATTCTGACGGTGGGGGGGAGACTTCCCCACTATCAGAAACACTAATCAGCATTGAAGGTTATAGCTTGCAGCACTGATTGAGCAGGGAAAATCCCAAAGGTTGATTTCTGTACAACCTCCTTGCCTATACATAGATCAAAATTCTGCCAGCACCTGTTGAATTTCAATTTATGTATGGACAGCTTAAGATTCCCCTCAAAGCTCACAAAGACTGTTGAGACAACAGGAAAAACAAAGACAAGTACTACAACCATTGTGTTAATTATCTCTCCAGGAGACAGAGAAAGAATCTAAGCAATAAATGGATGGCAGCCAAAAGCCTACATTAAAATCATGGTTGTATAGCATTATCAGTACTGAAGGAGTTTGTTTTAGAAGAGACAGACATTATTTTCAATGTGATACAACTGTTTTCACTAATGAGGTGGAGGTAGAACACATTCAAATGTACCTGCACATACAATTATTTTCATACTGAGAGGAAACATTTGCACAAACAATTTAAAATGTGCTTTTACTTCAAAGTATATACTTCAATGGAAAGAAGCAAAAAAGGGCAGTTTTTCTAGAGATGTTTAAGAATTTTAAGAGTTGATCAGGGACCTAAACCATGTTTTTCTAGAAGCTGTATAAAGTCATAAGAGAGCCAGCCACACAGGAAAACTGGATAGAGAAGCACCAAGAAACAATTCTTATAATGTTCCGTAAGTCTAATGTCACTTTCTCTAATGTTTTTCTGCTACAATTGTGTCTATGCCACAGAATCATTATTCCAGCTTGAACAGTTTTACATTTTATAGACACCCAGGAATCTAAGGTAACGTCAGTGACCAAATTTGGTCCAGCACATCATTTAGGATTCCTGGATATCAATTTACATTACTGCAATCTGCAATTTAAAAAAAAGAGTGTGGCGTGTAAACATCATTGGGTGATGGATCATCATGATTGACATGGATTACATCACTAGAAGCCATAATTGACTTGGATTGCATCACTGGATACTGTGACATTGATTACTTCAGAGGACAATAATACATTTTATATGTTGTGAAATTTTTTTAACAACTTTTTCATTTTCTGCTTTATTTAAACAAATTGAAGGTGTGTGTTTGTTTACTTCTCTTTGTTGGAAAAGGTATGGGTTACTAATGTGTTCTCATACTAAATCCTGTCAGGAAGATTGAGTACACAATTGTTCCCAAAGATCTGTGTGTCCATAGCACAGCTCATGAACCAATGCAAAGAATCAAGGCTGTGAGTGAATCTGTAAATGCTTACTAATGCCTGTGGGTATTAGCATGAATTAGCTTCAGTGATTTCTGATCAGACCTACATCCTGATAATCTTGATTTTTTGACATGGCTCGCTTCCTTACTCAGCTTGATTTTGATCTCCATTTGCTGACCTTGGCTTGTGTTCTGACCTTCTCTTCTGCCTGCTGTTGTACTTCTTCTGCCCAGCTGATAATGACCCTGGTCTGGCTTCTGACCCTGCTTCTATCTTCCAAATTAGTGCCCTGTTGTTGCTAACTCATTTTCAATACAATTTGATTCCTGCATCTGCAAGTTCCTGCACTCCATCTGTGTAACAGTATTCTGCACAGCTTCTAGTCTACTACAGGGGCGGACTGACCATTTGGAAACTCGGGACCCGAGGGCCCGGAGTCAGTAGGGGGCCCCAAGAGATGCCCCTGGTACCTTTTTTATAGGCTTTTTTAAGTTTGGGCAATGACACAGGGGCCCCATGATCCCCTATTGCCCGGGGGCCCCATGAGTTGTCAGTCCGCCCCTGGTCTACTGTCAAAAACATTGCAGCAGTATCCAGTCATCTGGCAACCCAAAGTGACAGGAACTACCACGGGCACCTGTACCACCACAGATGACTCAGCAGTCCAAAACTGGCCAGCAGCAAAATTTTTTAATGGGGGGAAATCTGATGAAGTATACTAGAGATAAAGAGTGGAGCAAGTACATTAAGAGGCATTTAAAAGACACAGCAGTGTGAAACTTGCCAGCAGCAGGATCATTTAAAATAGCACTTTTAGGCTCACATGTTTTCAGAAAAGCCTTACAATAAACAATATTTAACATAAAAAATGCCCTATCAACATACAGAAAAAAAAAACTAATATATTACTCAAAGTAAACAAAACCCCCAGATACTTCCCACACTTTTTAAGGGAAGTCTTGCACAAAAAAAAAAAAATGACCACTGACCTTAAATTAACTACAGAATAAATAAAGACAAAAAAAGGAAACAATAAAAGAAAAGAGGTAGCAAAGGCTTGATTACCTAAAGAGCTAGCAATCATAAATAAAGTATTCTAACTGACCCAAATCTTTTTGCATGCAGCTTGTCAGCGTTCCATGTCATTTCCCTAGGGCAGCCTCCAATATGCTCACACTATAGCTTCTCTGTGATTCCTCTTTTATAGTAAGGGTACTGGCACATGACAATGCCCCCATTCCCGCCCTTCTAAACCAGCTTCATAACTTTCTAAACCAAGTTCAAAGGCCCTTGCAGTGCATTACAGTTACTAAGAATTTGGGTGGCCAAATTATAGCATTATTTTGCTGGAACTTGTCATGGAAATTTTGTATTGTTGGTCGAACTTTAAATGTGTCATATATTCGTGTTATTCATATGTCTCTCGTGTGGCTTAATTAAAGCTCTGAAGGCTGCAATTGGGCCATGCGCATGTACAATGTATGTATTACAGTACTCAGCTCGGTAATGGATGAGATGGCAGATCTGCGCTTATATAGACCGGCGTGTATACCACCACGGCATTCGATGCGAATGCTGCTGTCAGTAGACCGTGGGCCTGTATCCACATATCAGCAGCATAGTACCACGTGGGCTTCATAACGCAATGCGCAAGCGGTGTGAACTCCGCGTGTAGGCTTATGCATATCTTACAACCCATTACTAATCTGAACTGTATCTTGGATGGATGTGTGTTAATAAAGATCGTATCGGGCCCATCCAGGTACAGACTGATATTTTTAGGAGATGCTTGTGCAGAGAATTTACATACCAATAGAAGCTAGTAGGACAGGAAATATGACCTCAGATGGCTCATGGGGGGGAAGGGAAGGAAGTTTGCTGACCTCAGAAGACTCATGGGGGAGGACCAGTGATAGATAATAGGAAAGGCTATGCTCCAATTGGAATGTACATCCTGTGTATAGGTACTCCCCATTGCATTGTTCGGTGGGAGGGGATTGACTTTATTCATGTGGGGGGCAAGTGTGTATTTTTAATAAAACAGAGAGCTGGGTCTAAAATCAGCCCTTATGTGAGTTGCAACACCATCCTGAGAGTGTCGTTTGATCATTCTAGGGTAACGGAGCTCCAATTCTCCCACATCTCAACAGAACCAAAGATTTGGATGGGCAGGAATCGTGTAGTTTAGCTGCAGTCGTGGTAAGCGAGATTCGCACAGCTTTATGGGGGATTTCTGCGCATCCAACTGCGAGTACTCACGGTAAGGAGAAATTCGTTAAAGCGAATTTCCAAGACAGTTTGGCGAGCCTGGTGGATACTAACGCGTATTCTTGCATAGCTAACCAAGAACGAGGGGGGAATGAGCTATCATGAACTAGCAAAAAGTATGCCGGCACATTTCAGGTCTCTCTGCCATTAAGAGGATCGCTTTTTGCGTGTTCGTGTGGCTGATTTCGCTCTCTGTTAGCTAACAAGAATTACCGCTTAACAAGGACCTAGTTTTTTTGTCCTAAACTCTTGATTTGTGGGTGAAAGACAAGGGTTTGTCTTTGCTGAGAGCAGCAGGGGGGTGGGTTTGGTTGGCTGGATTTGGTCAAGTTTAAAAATCTTCCAACCAAAAATTAAACGGGTATATGTTTTAGCGGGTAAAAGTTGTTGCATAGTGTTAGGTAAGTATTTGCGGGTTGTAGGTACTGTGGTGATTGCTTTACCCCCCTCCACGTGAGGTAATTATTACAGTGCTGAAAGGCTTAGGTTAATTGTTAACTGCTGTAAGATCTCTGTGTGTATGTAGTCTGTGCAATGTTTTGTGGTACTACTGCTCCCAGCAAGCATGCAGCAGTGGGTTCTTTCTGTTACATGTGCATGTTAGTGTGATATGTTGGTGTTTTATGTCTGTTCTGTGATTGTGCCCAAATTGTGTTGTATGTGTGCTGTATATTGTTGTGTAATTGTCCAGTGTATGTTCTGTCCAAAAGTCTGTATGTAAGAGGTTAGAGGCAATTTTGAGGCTAGAGTCTGCTGCCATGTGCTTCTCTGTGGGGGGCCATTCTAGTGTTACCATGTGCTTCCCTGTGGGGGGTAATTCTAGTATCTGCCATGTGCTCCTCTGTGGGGGGTCACCTTCTTGACTAACCACATGGACTCCTTTTGTTTGGTGGCCATTTTGTTGGCTACCATGTGCTTTCCCTGTTGGTGGCCATTTTGTTGACTACCATATGTGCAGTAATCTCTATGCAATGTGTATGCAGCTTTCTATATGCATTTGACCCATATTGTGTTTTTAATCCAAATTTTTTTACAGTTTCATTTGTTTGCTTTTAGCTTTAAATTTGCGTATTGCCAGCCAATTTAAAGTGTGTTAAGCGAGTTTTCCCTTCACGTGTTCCACATTTAGTGAGCGCAGTGAAGTCTGGGTTTTTGCACATAGATTTCTTGTATAGTGATTATGTTTTTCTTGTGTTTTTCCTGTTAAAAGTAGTTCCTTATTGTAAAGCGGGTTTGTTTTAAGCTGCTGTGTCACGTGTTTCGCGTCCAGCAGACTTTTTGTGTAAACGGTTTTAGGTGGTTGCAGTGAAGATTGCGTGTGTAACGTGGATCGTTTAGCGGTGCTGGTATGAGTGATTTTTGCGTCAGCAACAAGGTTACTTTTGGCGCAGTTTTTTTTTCGGTTTACCTCTGTGTAATTGTTTTACTGTGAAACGTCCCGTGTTTTTCATAAGGATCCACTTTGTCCTTTTTAACAGTTTTTCAGGTTGAAAAAGGGTTTTTCTGTGTGTATTAGGAAAGTTTTTTTCTTTACACAAATTTCCTAAAGGTCAGTTAGCAGGTTTCTGGCCAACCAGTGACCCCTAAGTAACATCCAAGAACCCCTCTTTTTGTTTTGACTTGTGTTAGCTACTGTGTGCAGGGAGAGAAAAGCCACTTTCATCATTGTGCGTGTGGCCTGCCAAACACAGTGGGTGATGAGAGCCACATAAATTACGCTGTGTGAGTGGGCAGTCCAGGGAAATCCTGGTTACCACAAACACTTCGGGTGGTCAGGATCACATAAATTGCGCTGTGGGAGTGGGAGGTGTGCTCTCAGTCTGACCGCCACTTGATGCGCTTCGGGTGATCGATAAGTATCACATAAATTACGCTGTGCTGGGAAAGTGGTGGAATCAGGCCTCTCGGTAGGATCCCACCGAGTGCTCCAGGGGGTAAACAGGTACCCGGACGCGGGATATATACCAGTGACTAGTCACGATGGGCAGTAGTCAGTCCATGAAGAGAGAGGGGGAACCAGCCCTCTTCAGGGTAAGGACAGCTGCACAACTGATGAAGGTGAGTTTGGGGGGGAAGTCTACAGAACCCCTCAAAAGGTGGAATAAATGGTCGAAGGGTACCAGATGGGAAATTCCCCGGGAAGGTACATTTGACGCATGGAGGTGGGAAAAATTCATCTCTGAATTTGAACCACGGATGCAGGCGTCAGAACTAGAGATCGCACAGTTATGGCTTCACAGGTCAATCCGATTAGGGAGGCAGGGCATACAGAAACTGGTGTCTGTCCGGAAGAACCAGGTGATGTATACCTGGCCTCCAGAGGGAATAAAACAGGAGGATCCAGTGTCAGAGGTGGAGGAAGCTCTTTCAGGGCTGACTCTACTAAGGCAGGCAGGATCAGGGTCTGCTGGGGTTCCCGAACAACCAACAGTGGCTGAGAGAAGTATAACTGCACCTGTCTCTTCTGTTAATGACGTCACTCTTGACGTACCTTCCGTGTCTTCTGTATCTATGCCTCAGCCTCTACCTCTACCTCTCCCTTCTCCCTGCTTCACCCCAGCTCCTTCTGTTTCCAACTATGAAGCCTTCTCAACAACCGATTTGCAGACTATCTGTGAATCAAGGGGAATAGACACCCGGTTAAGAAACAGGGCGGATTGCATCAAAGCGCTACGAGCCACTGATCAGACCCCTGCCCCCCAGCTATACCCTGATCTGAGGGACCTCAAACCTGAAGGTGCAGTAAGCGAGGTGGTTAATCTAAGCCCACCGATGATGCTGGGTCAGCCCTTGCACTCTTCCCGGACCGAGGCCTATCCAGTCAGGGTGCAGCAATTTGAAGGTCCTCCCAATGCACAGGGGGAACAGACTTTAGGGGAACGGGTAGTTTGGCATGTCCCCTTCACCCCGGCAGAGATCCGCACTATTCTGGCTGAGCTCCCGGACTATCGAGTCAATCCGAGAGGATTTGCTCGAATGTTTGGACAAAACCAGTTCAGTATGGTATGAGCGGGTCAGATTGTGCACAGATCCTACGGGCAAAAGGGGCATGGAAGTGGCCAGTACAGTGATTGCAGGGTGCTCTATAACCACGCATGAGGAGATGACTTCAGGGGGCAAAGAGTTCTGTACACAGCTAAAGGCAAAGCTTCCAGAAATGTATGGTGCTACCTCTACTACGGACATGATGAAGCTCACCCAGGGTCCTAATGAGGAAAGCGCGCCTGCTCTCTGGCGCCGTCTCAAGCAGACGGCACTGGATGCGGATCTGGAAGTTGGACCTGATGCTCCAACTGAAGGGGTAAAGGTGACCGCGACGCACATTCTGTTGCGGGCCAAATTTTTGGAAGGCATCGATACTAAAATTCGGAAAGGCTGG